TTTTTGAAGCATATGAATTACTATCAATTATGATATAATCTTTTCTTTTCTTGAGAAAAATAAAAATAAAAAATAGGGAGTAGCTTGTTTTGATAAATGCACAAAACTTTGTACTAGGCGAATGATATCCATGCTTGAGAGTTGAGACTCAAAAGTACACAAATCTTTTTACTTTTTACTAAATCCATGTAATGCATTATTTGAGGAGTTTTATTGGGTTGGATCCCGAAAAATGGATTAACTATAATTTGAATTGAAAAGCTAGATTCTTTTTATTTCAGACAAAAATTTTAAAATTGTCAATTTAAAAGTTATACTATATATATAAGTGTAATTTGAAAGATGTGAGCCAGTTATTACTTTGGGGGTATGAAAGACGAAATTTATCAATTCGAAACAAAAATACGAAATTGTCAATCTAACAAGTAGATTATACGAGGAACAAGATTACGTAAAATTGTTATTTTTCTTATATCAATGAATAAATATATAGTGAAATCAAATTTATATTATTATAAACATGTGAGTGAGATAATATATTTATTAATTTACGGGCTAGCGCTACCGGACTCAGGTTTAATGTTCCGACAAAAAAAATGATGTTGATGAAAAGATGTAAAAAGATAGATGATCAAACTCTATTAATTTTTAGGCCTGAACGGACAAGCCCTATGGTCCACTCATTTAATATCTCTCGTGAATCGCACGAGCTACTTAACGGACAAGTTCTGTGGAAATAACTCATTAATACTTATATCCCGTGCATCGCACGGGCTACGTGCTAGTATATATAATAAAAATTACTATTTATCAAAAATAGTAATCAAAAAATCCGCCAACATTAATTACATATTATTTTGAGTAACTTTTGTTATATATATTTCAAAAAATCAGGAAGCATTTAATGTTGTCCTATATGTCATGTTTATGTTCAACTATTAATAGAATTTTTTAAACATAGTAAAAAATCGGATATGTATCTTAACTTCCTAATGTTTATCATTTATTTATTTTGAAATGGTAAAAGAATTTCTATAGTTTCTGTCTCTTTAATTTTGCATTACAAAACAAAATTCAAATGAATTCGGTCGATAATGAAACACGTGATGCTCAATTAAATAGAAAAATTTTATATTAAAATTTATTTTGAAATCTCGGTTTCAATATGTCAATTCATGTAAAAGGTAACAAAACATTTATAATTTCATTACAAAACAGAATTTACATATTCTTTATGTGTGCATTTCATAAATATAATATATGTTAAAAATATTTCTAAAAACTCGGTTTCTCTATCATTTGTTGTCAAGCTGAATTTGGTAAACATCGGGTTTGTACATATCATCCCAATGTCGTCGAAAAACCGAAAGAAAAAAATAACTTTTTCATGATTACTCAAATTGGATTATAATAATTATTTAATAATATATATAATAATAATTATAATAATTTATCTTAGGTTAGATATGTAAAATGGAAATTTAACTTATTTTTAAAGAACATTATTCGTTATAACACCATCCGTTTATGATATTTAATAACTTATAAATAACATACTACAAAAATTTAATAAATATGCATTATATCACTGCTTTGTTCAGACCCATGTTCGTATCAAGTCATCATGTCAATTACCTAATTAATTAACTAATTTTAAATTTTTTTAAAATATATATTTAATATTTTATAAATATATATATATATAAGTATTAAACAGTTAATTTGTCTTCCTTTCTATAATTTGGAGGCATAATATATGGTCATTTGTTATAAATATTTACTATTTGAATCAAAATTATTTTTTATTTCATAAAATTAATTATATTTACGACGAAAAAGAATGAAATTTATTTCATCAACCGGTTGAATGAATTAGGTTATTATACATGTTTATTGGACCAATTTCGGTTATATGTAAAAATCGTCCAAAAATATGACATAACTTTTGTTGCATCTCGGGTAACCATGTTATGAGTGGAATTGACTGAATCAAATCGATTATTGAAACTAAATATGATTTCAATATTAAGAGATCTTTGTTCCAATAAATACAATATAATTCAAACAAATAAAGTAAGAATGTTATCATGAGGAAATGAAGATGAATGTTAAGGTATATATTGTCAATTGTTCTATTGTTTCTCCGTACATCGCACGGGCCACGTACCAGTTTATATCTAAATAAAAATTGAAAACCCCAAATCTAGATTTTGATCTTTAAAACTCAAATTAATAGTTGACCATTTTTCAAGTCACAAATTGGAAGATTTTATCTTTCCAAACTTGAATCAATAAACCTCTTTATTTTGAATTTAAATGTTGGAAGAAGTTTCAAAAATAATCTTGTTATTGTAAAGGCGCATTTAAAAGTAGTTACATTGAGTATCCATTAATCAATATTAGTTACATATTTTTCAAATTGACTAATTAATTTGAGGACAACGTCGTTGATTGAAATCCATATTTCGACCGGAATTTTAATAAAATATGTATGCATGATATGCCCATTTCTGACCGAAATTTAGTTAAAGTTGAGAAATTGAGGAAATGTTAGCTGAAATATTGAAATTTGCAGGAACTTTAATCGAACACCCACTAATCACGTGTCGAACTTTAGTAGAAATTTATAGTCAAGAAATTCAAGGAAAATGTTCGCCAATTTTTTTTCTTTTTTGGCAACATTGCACTCAAATTGGTTTATTTTAAATTACATGACTAATACTAATTAATTAGATTCCAATCAAATTAAAGATTACAATTACTCCACAGTTATGGGGCTACTTTCAAATTTTCCCATAAAATGTTGTAGTTTTTCCTTCCACTGTCTTGATAGAATCTATAATAAAATTGTATTTGGAAATGAACGCCGAATATATATATATATATAAAGACCTATGGTTAGATTGTTATTTTCTATTTATTTATTCATAGCTAGGTATTTAATAATTGAGAAAATAGTACTATTACATAACTTATATAAAATTTGATCAGGCTTTTCCATGCTGTACGATTATTATCATGATAATTTGCTTATAGTATTTGTCTTAATTGTAATTGAATGCGTATGCCTTACGCCTTGGTGCCCGATTAGAACTTATAATTCACGTGGAATGTGACAGTGTTATTTAAAACTATACCTGAAGTTCCATAATTGCTTAAATAATTGATTACAAATCGTTTCCAATTTAGTGAAATACTCTATAGAGCATAAAATATGATAAATATAAATATATTTCGTAAGGATTATCTATCAATCATATTCTTCGAAAATTACTGGTGTGACTACTTGAAGAATAGAAAAATGTATTTTTTTTCAGTGAAATTGACGTACGAATTTGATGGGCCGTTGCCTTAGTACTACATGCAAAATTGAAATTTTTTTCCTATCTTTAAATTGGCCTATATAAAATAAAATAAAAGAGTAATTCGTGGGTACACATTATTTCTATTTTATTTTTTTCATACAACAATTCTTACTGAATTAAATCGTAAAACTCAAATTATTGAAAACACTCATAATGTACAAATTATAAATTCGTGACGGCCTCTGGTTGTTCGATGTCGGCTAATGGCCGAATATTATAGAATCATTATAGAACCCTTTGGACATTAATCGATTTCTTAATGAATAATGTGGTCTGGATTATCGACTCCAAGGTTATAAAATGCAATGAGAAGCCGATAATCTTCATTGAATCAAGCTCTTTCTGATAATGTGGATCTCAGTTTTAAATCTAGAAATATTAAATGAAACAAGCAACTTGTGAGCTCAGCTCGTTTCGAGTTCATTTAAAGAGCCAAGTTCATTAACACTCGATTTTTTTCTGTAATTTTTATAAATTAACTCGTTAAATCTCGAGTTCAGCTCGAGATCAATTAATTAACATCGATAAACGAGTTGAGCTCGAGATCATTTATTAAACGAGTCGAATTAGCTCGATAAGGAGCTCGAGCATGGCGACTCGTTTAGAACTTTATGAGATTCGAAGTGGCTAGACGCTAGTGGTCGTGAGGTGAGTCAACGGGGCTTCAAATTTCAAACTACATAATTGTTAATTTTTATCAATGAGAAATTTTTATAGGTGTTACTGCTTTCAATACCTCGATAAAATAAAAACATATATAGCGGGTTACAATTGTCACAAAATGGTCCACGATCGCCATATTTTATATAGGGAAAAATAAAATTTTCTATTTGTAGTATGGCTGATTTCAGGACATAGCATAGGACACCAAACAACACAAAAAACAATGAAAAATTAAAATAAAAAACCCAACATAAAACTTATAAGAAGAAAATATAGTACATAATATAAATTTCCCCTCTTCCAAACAGATTCTAAGGTGCGATTGTAAATACTTTCGCTTGAGGGAAATTTTTTTATTGATGAAAGAAATTAACTGTAAGAATTAAAGATTATAGTACGAAAAGATGGTTTGTGTATAATTTTTTATAATTAGACTTGTTAAAGTTCAATTATGGGCTCGTGAAAGATTGGAGCTCGAGCTCGAACTCGGCTCGTTTACACTCTAACTCTCAGTAAAGAAATGATTGGTGCAAATGTTAAAAAAAAAAAAATTGTTTTATTTAATATTACTTGATGTTGATATTATTTGTGGTCCTTCGTACTTCTATTCATTTTATTTTCTATTAATTAAAGTTACGATTTTTGCAATAAACGTTAAAAACGGAAAAATATTAAATAATTGGGACAGTTGGATGATGGCGGCCAATGGTACGTGCATTAAATGAGATAAGCACATTTAAATGGTCCTTTTCAGCATCTCCACTCTGGCATTTTTTTCTGCACGCTCTTCTGGAGATTGTGTTACACACTCAGGACAAAAAGTGTGGGCGTGGAGTCACAGCCGGCTTCCGTTCTTTTTCTCGTTTTTCAATTAACATTGTTATTGAAGTTCCAACAGCAGCCACCATGCCACGTAATACAGTAAGTGAAGTAACAAAATTGAACCTGCGACCTTAACCTTTTATTAGGACATGATAATTGATTACGTGGCCTTGGTTAATTAAAATTATTTTTGCTTTCAGTTATGTCTTTCGGAAAAATGAGATGAAAAATAATAATAATAATAATAATCATAACAGTAATAATAATAATAATTAAAAAAAAATATGTTGAATTAAAAATTAGATATTAGATAAAATATAATGATTAAAATTTATGTGATATGAAAATAAAAAATTTCAATTTAAAATGAACAGCGCTTTTTGTGGAGTCTAACAATGATGATCACTTTTTATTTTTAATTGTATTAATGGGATTGTAGAAAAAAAAATGGACAGGAGACTAATAATATATTTTGAAAAAAAAGAAAAGCGTTTCACCACCTAATTAGTTTTGTACATTAACTCATTCTNTTTAGCTATGTATGATACTTATTGTTGGAATTTACTTATCATTTATCAATGCCTAAGGGAGTCATTTTACTTGTTAATTTAAATTCTCCATAAAAATACCTCCAAGGAGAAAACATTGTGCTTTATAATTTATAATATTTGACAGAACATTTAAATGGACACCATTTGGACTGAGATTTTAAGCATAACAGTTTTAATGGTATATAATTCTCTAAGAGCATGTTCAATGCTCTGAGTCTAATTTTTGATGTCACATCAATAGGACTCAGTCTAATTGCGTTTGCACTGGAGTAAATATATTTTTAAACTGGATCTATTTCATACGTGACCTATATTTTTTTTTTAAAGAACCCAAAGCATTTTGGATAATCTAACGACAATTCACCCTAAACTAATTGCCGCCAAATGGCATAGATATTGGACTAGAGAATATGATTTATTATCTGCTCAACATTTAATGAAAAATAAAATGAATAATAAACTCTAATTGTACTAAATTATCGAGGGTAGGTCCATTCCACAAGACAAGTCCAATGGTAGACCGCTTAGTAAACAGAGTTTTCTAAAAGTACCGTGCCTTAATTCTACCAAACAGANAAAAGGAAAAATAATTCGGATATATAAGTAGTTTATTTAGTTTTCTTGTAATTAATATACATTTTTCTTTTATGAATTCGACAAATTAGTATACCAATTTGAATGACACACAAAGTGATCTATATTATTGGAAAAAAAATTACTACCAAAATTGAAAATTGTGAAACACCATAAACACAATATTATGTCCTCTAAACTTAACAAAATATTAAATAAGACGAGATGCTACTTTCTATGCATTAGAATCACATCCGCAATTAATTGATTATTTTTAGAAAATTAAAAGATGTTAGTGTGGCAGAGAGAGTACAAATTGCTTGATTAAGTGTAATGTTTTTTGGTGTATTTCTACCTAGATAAGGTTAACTTGAAGCCAAAAGCTAGCATATTAAAAATTATCTAGGTCTCAATTTTTAAAGTTAAATTAATATTTGTTTTGTAAACAAAAATCCAACTTTTTGCTCAAACATGAGAGAGATGTATCTCCAATTCTTTCAAAAAAAGTAAAAGTATTTATGTTTATGATTGTGAAATGTGAATTTTAGGAGTGATAAGTTTTTTTAATCTATAATGTGACACATATGGGTCCACAATAAAGATAGGTTTATGGATTAATTATTGCAAATGGGGTGTAATTAGTTTACCACGTGGATTGTGTGGGCACTGGCATCTGTTTGTACACACAACATGACGTGGTCGTGACGACATAACATTTGTCCTCTAACATTCTTGATTTTGCTGTCATTTGTATATAAATTTGGTATTAGCAGCAGAAGCAAATTAATTAACATAATTAACCCCAACTAATTAGCAACAAAACAAGCAAACAAAGCCAAGGAAAAAGGGATAAAACTTGCTGATTTAAGTGGTAAGTTTCTTATTTACATTTACATTGGTTAATTTCTAGTTTGTTTGGTTTTTTGTTATTCTTTCTTAATTTGTTATTATGATGCTTGAGGTGAAATTGCCTGGCCATGCAACTCTTTTTGCTTGTTTTCAATGAAATTTCTGATCTTTCTATAGGTAATTTAAATCAATATAATAAGTAAAATAAAATGGAACAAAAGATACGAAAATTAAGAAAAGTGGGCTCTTATGTGCGTGCACATATATATTCATGCACAAAAAACCCTTGACTACTTTTTTTATTTAATGATTATTTTTCTTTTGTTTTTTGGTACAAACTGATTATTTTTCTTTATGTATGAGTTCAAATATGATCTCCTTTGAAATTACCCTTGTCTTAGTTTTTATGCGGATGAATTTTCGTATTTTACAATCATATGCTAATTCATGTTTCATATTCCACCGGATGAACGACCCGTGTCGATGACATCGTCGCAATTATACACATGACAGTCATCCAACGCTAAAAACAAAAAAAAAAAAACATGATTTTGAAACATGAAATATTTTCCAGTTAATTTACGTCGTTAATTCTTACACACATGCGTGATTTTTCCATGTATGTAGGGAATTATCAATGGAAAATCATGAACTAAACCATGAGAATGAGATGATCTTTGATAATTACTTCCAAAACCCTAATTTCCCTTCTGAGATTAATATCCACCCACCAAATTACAATGATCAATTACCATTATTGACCACAAACTACTCATATAGGACTTGGGACAATCCTTGTTATTATACCATAGACCAACAAACCATGAGCAACATCATGTTGACTTCTTCATCATCTTCATCACAATTACTAATCCCTCATGAAAATACAAACAACTCGAATCCCATCAACAGCACGCACGAATACGACCAAACGACCCCTTATAATAACCCCAATGTCGATCAAACGATCACTAACGACCCAAATTTAGCCCCGAAAATCATAGACTTCTCATCATGGGCCGAGGAAAATCGTCGTTCTACGGATGATACTTCCGAACATCGCTCGATTAAGAGAAAGAGGGTTTGTACGTCGGGCAACAGGACAGAGGTGCAAGCACAGGATCATCTTGTGGCCGAGAAAAAGCGCCGTGAGAATTTACGACAACTTTTCATCGGCCTTTCTAAGGTTGTGCCGGGGATCAAGAAGGTAACAATTTGAAATAGTAAATAGATATACACTAGCTACACGAAAAAAAAAAAAAATGGAAAATCCTACAGTAATACTATATTGCAATGAAAATTTCAACGGATATTTCTGTTAGAATGGTTCCACAGAATATTCTGTCGGGATGAGATTTTTATTGGAATTTTAGTTAGAATCTGATGATTCCAACGAACATTTTTTCAGCGGTTTATTACCTTGGATACGTGATTTCCGTTGGATTTTTATTTCCATCCATATTTCTGCCATTAGAATCGCTAAAATCCAACGGGAATCCAATGAAAAACTCATTTTAATGTAAAATTTTTGTTGAAATTTTCTTTGGAATTCATTAAAAAATTCCAACGAAAATAATTACATTGGAGTTTCTGTTGTAAGTGTCGTTGAAATTCTGTTGAAATATACTTTCGTTAAAATTTTCTTTTTAAAAATATATCATTTTCTTAAGGTGATAAATATACATATTCTTTACCATCTAAATTAAAATTGGGCGACTTATTGTTTGTATGTTGCATGGGCCCTTCAGCTGCATTTTTTCTGTTGCAATTGTGTGTTATGAGCGTGAATGAAACGCCACGTGAAGTGTTTTTTTTCTAAGTGGGAAATTAAATTGCATGACATGGACAAATCTAACTAGGATTTGTTGCACCAAATAGCTGCCATAATTAAGAAGTTCCAAAATTTGATCCACTTGCATGCTATTATAAAATTCCGGCATTTAATTAAAATTTTGACTTAATTGCATAATTGTACTTGAAATTAATTTATTTATTATTGGCGTCTCTCAAAACTACGACACTTTTGGAGTTCAGCTTGTAGTGAGCTCACGAGTGACGTGTTAGCTTGAAGTCCCAATCATAGGAATCTCGTGACATACTTTTTCTCACAAATGAATATATTTTTATTTAAAATTATCACATTTTATTAAACAACATAAACATAATATTTCTTAGTCTAAGTGTTTTTGTTCAGTATAATTGGCGGCCCATCTATTATTAGGCTATAGCACATAAAAAGTTATAATTTTTTATTGGTTATGGTTACCAATAATCAATGTATTAAAATTACTAGAGATATGGTAGATAAAATAACCAAATTCTAGGCACTAGGATCCGGAGGAGCATCTCACATGATTAAAATGTACTCCAACTTACTTGGCTTTTAATAGTTTCAGTTAGACTATTATTAGACAACCTATCGATTAGACTATCATATTTTTTTAATTTAAACAATTCTACTTTCCTAAAAGATATAATGTCCCCGAGAATTATGTCTACTTGGTTGACTTACTTCCAAACTATCTTAGCTACTATTATTTACAAATCACAGAAAAACTCATTAGACATCACATCTTTTTGGAATCACCTTATCAAACATTAGATAACTTATCGACCATTAGATAACTACCTATTTTAGATGGTATAAGGTTTCCATGTATACTCACATGTGTTCAATCAATCACTACAACTACTTTTACACTACCTAATGATTAACAATTATATTTTATAATTCAATATAAACAAAAGTGTAATATTTATATTTTTTATAGAAAATATGACTGATTGATGATTAAACAGCCATACAACAACATTTGTGATAGTTCAATTCTGAAAACGAAATGATAACCTTATATATATAATATAATATTGATAATGAAACATTTCGTCTAGTTGGACAAAGCTTCCCTACTTGAAGATGCCATTAACCACTTGAAGTCCCTACAAGAAAGAGTGAGGGTCCTTGAGGAGGAGCAGATCAAAAACGGGTCCAATGCAACTGCCCAATTATCCTCTGCCCCGGAGATTAAGGTCCGAATTTGGAACAAACAAGTGCTCATCAAAATCTGCTGCGAGAATCGAACTGGGATCATGTCTAAAATCCCGTGTGAGATCGAGAAAATAAACTTCAATGTGATGGACATGAGATTCATGGTGTTTGGAGGTGCAACTTTGTACATAATCATCCTTGCCGAGGTACTAATTTTCGCAATAGGAACTTTGTTTCCCGTATTTAAAAGAAAATTGTAACTTTAGTCTTGTATGTTTTATTACCCTAACTTGTTCATCCCATTCGAATTGTTGTTTTAATTTTTGTCCCTTACATTTGCGAAAAAAGTAACAAAAGGTCCCCAAACATACATAAGGGACAAAATTGCATCCTTTTTGTAAATTAGAAAGGGGACATTTTTGTTGCGAAAAAAATATTTTTTTAACCTTATTGCAAACATAAGGGACGAAATTCAAAACAACTTTTCGAAATTTAAAACAACAGTTCAAAAGTGACCAAAAGTTATGGTTGATAACATACAGTACTAAAAGTGCAATCTTTTTCGTATTTGACTTGAGAATTGTTAGAATATCACTTGTGAGTTGTCACACATCGCTTATACATGGAAAATAGACATATCTTATAAGTTTAATGGGTTATTCCTCCTTCCACATATTGATTTTGGGATGGAACCCCACTTGGGCTTTATCTAAGTTTTCCCTACTTATGGTGCGGTTTATTTGCGTGGGACCGCACCCGTTTTCCCCCCGTTTCTTACATAGTATCAGAGCAGGTTCTATGTGGGACCGTGCAATGACGTGCGTGGGACCGCACCCGTTTTCCCCCCGATTCTTACATGGTATCAGAGCCGGTTCTACCGTGCAATGACGTACCCGTTTTTCTCCACGTACTCGTTTATAGAAGCCTGTTTCTAGTAGGTCTTGGGCCCACGTACCCGTTTATGGGAATTTGTTTCTAGTAGGGCTTGGGGCACCCGTTTTCCCCCGTTTCTTACAAAAATCGCGCGACAAAATGTGTTGGTCGAACGTTTGATGGAACACATTTATATATCAACTTTGAAGCGCGTATTATTATTTAATTTTTTTTTTTTTTGCAGAGTTGAAACGTATTTTCAAAATACGTTTTATATTTTTAATTATTATTTTCTGGAAAAAAATTTTTCCGAAATTGTAAATATTAATTTTATTTATAAAACGTATTATTGGAATAGTTTTATAATTAAAAAATAAATATTTAGTTATTTTTAGTTATAAAACGTATTCGAGTAATACGTCTTTGTTTTTTTTAACTTAAAATGTATTTAAATAATACGTTTTACCATATTTTAATTAACTTAATTACGTTTATTACGTTAGTTAATTTTTTTTGCAAAAATGAATTCATTAAATACGTTTTACTAATAAAAACGTATTCTTCAAATACGTTTAATATTGAAAAATGGATTTACAAAATATGGCCTTTTGATTTTTTTCCACTCCTTTTTTTTGTCCACTTTTTTTTTTATTTTTATTTTTTTTAGTAAAAAAACCTACGGGGGTTCATTATTTAGATATACCACGTGTGTGATTTGCATGTGGACTAAATCAAACTAGGATATTAGTTAAAAATATAAAAAGGTGATTTAAAACTGTTGAAGAATCCATCACAGAATGTAAGCAAGATGGAACAAAAAAAAGAAAAAGAAAAAGAAAAATGGAGTTCTCTTGAGTAGGTCTAGAACTGTATGCAGACCAAGTTGACCTCAAATCCAATCCTTTATCGAGCTAAACTTATTAATGAGTCACATTTTGTTAAAAGTTTAGAAAATTACATACCAGCCTCTATTTAGTAAGCCCAATGAGCTAAAGTCATAGCATAAGTTTTAATCGGTCGAACTATATATGCTTCGTATGACTAATTTGACAACTTTAATTGGATCCATCTCAAAATGTGCAGACGTGACACTTTATTGTGAACTAGTACGGTTGCTCGTGCGCGTGTATTTAATAAAAAAATATTGATTTATCTGAAATATAGGTATACTATATACGTAGAGCGCGCTCAACTGTTAGAACAAGGAATGTTTATAAATTTTAGTTTATGTTGCAACACCAGAATATGTTAAAATAGCGGAAGCACAACAAGAGTTAAAAAACTCTTCGGGGAGCGTCCCACTATCCCTCAGATATCTTTCATTAATAGATCAATTGTGCACTCCTATATAGTTTGGACTTATACAACTAGAATTCATTTCTAGCCTAACTAACACTATACTCGCTCCTACCAACTACTTCTCTGGCCATGTCCCATGGACTTTACACACTCGAATCCCTTAAGTAAACCCAATACTTAATCCCTAACTACTAATAACAAAAGTGTCTGAATAAAATATGAAAAACTAAAAGAAAACAACTTCACTTCTTCAATGACGTAAGAACATCGAATCACTGAACACAAAAATAAAACTAAGAACAAAAGATTGAACTCTCAATTGAAGCTCGGTTAATATATGAATGATATAATGATCTCAGCAGCCTTCAATTGATATTCAAGTCGGATATATATAGCCTCCTTAGGCGTGGGGTTCTTTCCAAGTGATTTCCTTCTCTTTGTGATTTTCTTCCAAAGCTCCCGGTTTAAACATGGTAAGTGAATTTTCCTCTTGATTACAAGTCCTCTCTTTCTTCACCTTCTTTTCAAGTCATGCGGATCTTCTCTCATGCATACGTACATAGCCGACAAAATATAACACAATAAGATCATGTAAAATTTTTACAATATATATGACATATAATTGGCTGAAATATATAAATAAATAAGTAAAAGAAGATCTTCCCTTAAATTCCTTGGAAGATCACATCTTCAATATATTATTTTTATATTATTGCCAAAAATAAATCTTTCATTATCAACTTTCGATTCGAATACAAACAACAAATTTTAGCAATTTGAATCCTATAAGATTTAAAATTATCAATTTAAAAAATTTAGCTTCAATTAGTATAAGGGACGAAAGATGAATCAACTTTAAATTTGAGATGTGATAAATCTATCGATTTCGTATCCACATGAGGTGAAATTATCAATTTAAAACTCTAAAGATTGAGGCCATACTCTTCTAAATCTATCGATTTCGTATCCACATGAGGTGAAATTATCAATTTAAACTCTAAAGATTGAGGTCATACTCTTCTAAATATGTGATAACATGACCATCAGTAAGTTAATAAGAGCACGATCAACATAAATAAAAACTAAAAACGTATTGAAAAACATCAATGAATTTTTGCTCTAGTCTCGTTTTTGGTTTTGTACATGGCCGGACAAAAAATTTAGGTTGTTTTTTCCATCTCTTTATTATTTTTTATTTATATTAACATAATTCTTATATAAAAACATTTTACATTTTTCATCCATTTTTTAATTTTGATATATATTAAGATGTTCAATTTTTTTTTTTTTAACAACACGTTTGATTAATCTTCCAAGCATAAATTTGATAATTCACTATCTATTGAGTCCCGAATATATAGATTTTATCTTTGAGACCCAAAATTGTTAGTTAATCCGTCTTTGGACCCCAAACAGATAAAATCTCTAAAATAAAGTATACACATAAAAAAAATTAGTACAATTAGTTTGTTATAAAAAAAAAAAATTAAAGGACACAACACAACTTATTACTGCCATCTCTATATAAATTTTATCATTTTAACTTTATATTTTCAATATGAAAATAAAAAGTATTATTAAACTATTTCAAAATTGACTTTTTCTTCTCGGTAAAAGAATTTTTAGTCAATTTAAATAAAATTAGGATATAAATCAATACATGCTATTATATTTTAATTTTATATAGTAATTAATAACAAAAGTAATTTGTACGTTAATAAAAAAAAATGTACATAAATACATAGGTTTAGGAGTTTAACTACTTTTTTCTATATACTCTTCACATCCATATTTTAAGTTTCTAAATCATTTTCTACAACTTTGGAAATGAATTATACAATGTAAAATACTTTAAATTTTTTCTACAACTTTCAAAATGAATTATAAAATGTAGGGTGATGTTGATTTTAACGGAGGAATCAAATTCTATAAAAATGTGGTTACACAATTCCTATCACATTATTTACAATTTAAAAATACTAAACATTACTAATAAAATAAAAATAAAATAAAAGTATTAGTAGTAAAATGTATGATTATCTATATATATAAATTTGTATCTAGTTCATCTTTTATGTTCTTGTAATTCTGTGTTGACCTAAGAAATGACCTTCGTCGCCCTCCGCCTCCGCCAACCCTGCGCCTGGTGGAAAGTGTGGAAAGTGCTAAACATTCAGGAAAAGTGATAGACGTAACCGGTATATTAGTATATGGCGCCTGTGCTAAACCTTAAGGAAATGCTAGACGTAACCGGTATATTAGTATATGTATGGGGAAGTGCTAGACGTAACCGGTATATTAGTATATGTATGGGGGAGAAAATAGACAAAGGTATTTGTTTTGTAGAAGTGTGTTTGATTGTAAAATATATCTTTATTATTTTTAAAATTTTTATAATGGACTTATCTTAATTGTTGGATTTTCTTCTATAGAATTTGGGGTTCTATAATTTTCTGAAAAATTAAATCTTCAAATATTCATCTAGAGATAAGCTAATAAAGCTTGAGCACTAATATCTTTTTCTCCCTCCGCTGTGAGTTGCAAGGACTATAAACCATGAGTGAGACAAAGTAATATTTGAGTTCTAAATTGTCAATCAAATTTGAACTACAATTTAAAAGTAATAAATAATAAAAATTAAATGCTCCGATGTTGTAAATATGTCGTGAAATTGATTCATCTTTCAAATGGTCAAATATGGTACACAAATTTTGAGGGAAATATTTTCAGGACTCATCACCCTGTGAACCAAACAATAGAAACGTGTGGATTTAATATTAAGGATATCAAGCCCATAAAAAAGCAACCAAACAAAACGTAGAAAACAATCCCTCTGTACGATGTCGTTTTCGTTCCACCAATCGTACATACACGTTTGGCCGTTCGCCTCGAGTCCTTTCCCATTCCACGTCCGCCACGTGTCCCCCGCATTCCCCTATGCCCAGCCTCCCCCTCTCTCTCATGTGTGTAGTGTATATATAAATGCTGCGTCTGCGTGTGTGCAGAATATGCTGAGAATTTTCCACTCACTGAACAATGGATCAAATCGACTTTCACAACTTTCCGACGCTACCGCAGCTGCTCGCCGGCGGCGACCCATCCTCCGCCGCCGACAGCGAGGCTCAACTCGACAGACTCTGCGCCGGCCTCAGCTTCCGCACTCTGCTCTCCTACGCCGCCTCCTCCTCCGATCCCGCGGCGGAGGCCCAGGATCCGCCGGTCAAGCGTCCGAAGACAGGACCGCCATACGATTTCTTCTCCGACACGACGCCGCCCCCATTTCCCAGCCAGCTGCCGAGCCTCCTGTCCCCCGAGCAGCCCCAGATAAAACCCCCAATTCCAAACCCTAGATCCGAAACTGCGTCGTACGAGAAGCCGCGGTGCCGGCACCAGCAGCGGCTGAGCGAGAGGACGCGGCGCCTGCAGAAGCTCCTGCCGTGGGACGAGAAGATGGACATGGCGACGGTCCTCGAGGAGGCGCATAAGTACATCAGGTTCCTCCGGGCGCAGGTCCGCGCGCTCCAGTCGATGCCCCGCGAGAGCATCGCCGGATCCGCCGATTACGGCGCGGCGACGGCGGAGAGTGTCGCCACCGGCGGGGATCTGGGGAGGCTGAACCGGCAGCAGCTGCTCCGGGTGGTGCTGAGCTCGCCGGTGGCTCAGATGCAGCTGTACACCAAGGGCTGCTGCGTGTACTCGTCGGAGCAAATGGTGTGGCTGAGGAAGAAGGCCGAGAGGGAGGCTCTGCACCGTGAAATGATGT